AAGTTTTGTTATTAGTACGGTATCAGAATGGCGAGAACCGTGCCTGGTACGCCTCAACACAATGGTGTAGCTGAGCACATGAATCGAACGATGACTGAAAGAGCCAGAAGCTTGCGTGTGCAGTCAGGCCTACCAAAGCAGTTCTGGGCAGAAGCAGTCAACACGGCAACTTACTTGATCAACCGAAGTCCATCAGTACCATTAGATCACAAGTTACCAGAAGAAATATGGAGCGGAAAAAGTAAAACTCTCACATCTTAGAATTTTCGGGTGTGTAGCATACTTGCACATCAGTTATCAAGGTAGAAACAGACTTGATCTAAAATCAAGGAAATGTACTTACCTTGGTTATGGTGAAGATGAGTTTGGCTACCGCTTATGGGATCATGAAAAAAAAAGATGATCCGCAGCAGAGATGTCATCTTTAATGAAAGAGTGATATATAAGGACCGACATAACACAAGTGCCAGCAACTCAGAAGCGAGTGGGCCAGTTTATGCAGAGGTGAAAGATATCCCAGACATTCCTATAATAAGAAATCTCCTATGAGAGGAACCAAATGAAGAAATCGAGCAATCAGAACCTTCTACTCCAATTCCTATGTTGAGAAGGTCTTCCCGGCCCCATGTACCCAACAGGAGATACATGGACTACATGTTGACCGATGGAGAAGAACCTGAAGATTATAGGAAGGCTTGTCAAACCGCGGATGCTAGCAAGTGGGAGCTTGCCATGAAGGACGAGATAAAGTTTTTGATCTCAAAATCAGACGTGGAAACTAGTCAAGTTACCCATCAGAAAAAAATCACTTCACAAAAAATGGGTGTATCGGGTGAAGGAAGACCATGATGGTTACAAGAGGTACAAAGCCCGACTGGTTATTAAAATATTTCAGCAGAAAGAAGAAGTTGACTATATTGAAATCTTTGCTCCAGTTGGAAAGCTCAATACTATCAGAACTGTGTTAAGTATTGTGGCTATTGAAGAGCTCAATCTAGAGCAGTTAGATGTAAAGACTGCATTTCTTCACGGAGACCTAGACGAGGAGATCTATATACACCAGCTTGAAGGTTTTTCAGAATGAAAGAAGGATATAGTGTGCAGATTGAAGAA